GTAAGCAAGGAAGAATTAGAATATTGCAGAAGAATAGATTGTTGCGAGGGTTGTGAAATAGAAGGAGTAGGAGATGGCAGGTTGGTGTCCATCAGGGGTGTCGTCTCCGCAGTATAGCTGGAGATAGCGTCTAACGTCTCTGTTGTTAAGGAAGCCGATGATGCCATGATGTTAGAGACAGGTGAGGCATTACCAGTAAACATTGGAGTAACTATGGAGGAAACCAAAGAGGTCTTGGGGGGGGCTGGGGAGTATGAACCTGGAGAGATGTATGGGCTGGGGTAGAAGAGTCCTGTACTGTAACAGGAGAGGAAGATGAGAGGGTGGAAACAGGGGAAGAGGGGACTACACAAGGGGGGTAAACCTCCAACTTCGTTTGAGAGCTGGATAGGGGGTGAGAACTAGGCTCCGAGGTAGAAGATAGATTCTGTGCAGGTGATGGATGCAAAGAAAGTGTAGGTCTGCGAGGTCTCGTAGACTGAAAAGCAAGCGAGCAAGATAAAGTATAAGTAGGAAGTGGTACAGAGGTAGGAGTGTCAGAGGATAAAACTGCAAAAAATTAGAAACTGGGGTGACCCCGGAAGACACGGACGCAGAGGGATTGGGAGGCGGGACACGAGGACGTTTTCCATGAAGGCAGAGCTGAGACAGTCATAGTGTAAAGCCCTCATGCTCTTTAAGATAACGGATCTCTCGTTCATTACGATAGACCTGGCAATGGCATGAAAAGGAAGGATGAGGTTCCTTGCAATTAGAACAAGAGAGGAGAAGACTACAAGAAGTTGGAATGATCTGCTGCACCGCAGACTGGGCATTCCACCGTAGATCTGCAATGTTTAGTGGGGTGCCCAAAATACCAGCAATTACGACACTGTTGGGGAGTGGAAACTACTTGACAGACTTTTAGGCAATACCCCGCAATGTAGACAGAGGACAGAAGTACACGGCAGTCGAAGGTTAAACAAGTGATGTCACTAAGAAAGCACCTTCGCTCACGAGTGGGTAAGATGTATGTATCTACTTTCACTCTGTGCAATGGTACATGGTAAGACCACAGTACCACTGCAAGAATTAATAGTAGTGTGCTTACGAACGGTGACTGCTACGTTATCTATGCAAGTGATGCAGGAGAGAGCATGAGCTTGCTCTGAATTCTGTACTGTTACGACATGTGCACTGCTTTAAAGAGCATGGAAGGATATATTCTGGCCAACTTGCCATAAAAGAGTTACCCATTCCATGATCAGAAAGATAATCAGCCTGAGACGTTTGTAAAGAAAGGAATTTTGTCTATTGCGTACTCGTTAGCCCGGTATACAAAGGTAGTGTCGCGTAGGTCGTTTTTGAGTGAGCATTGATAAACTGTCATCAGTAGGTTGTCTTGGACGTTTAGGAGTAGAACCGCGGGCGGTCTGACTTGAGGGAGGCGGGCAATCCGAAAACTGCCGCACAATATTCGGGGAAGCTGGACGCATTGTGAAAGGCATGCTAGAAGTAGTGGCATGAACAGAAATGGGTAATGCCACAGCACCTGAAGCAGGTGACGATGTGCCACTGGTAGAAGGTACAGAGGTATGAGAAGAGTCGAGAGAATGGGCCGATAACAAAGCCGGGTCAGAACAAGGTGTGGGAGCAGAAAGGGGTCAGGGAGGAGAAAGGGTTTCACTGGGCAAAGACTCCATAATAAAGGTGCTTCTGTGATATCTCCTTTCTTGTTATTTTAAGAAAGAAAGAAGGAAAGAAAAAAAGAGGGACAGCAGAGGAACAGTCTTTATGAGGCATGGAAGGGCCGAAAACTCCCATCCCCCCTATCCGAGAGGGCCTCGAGCCCACCGATGGTGAAGATGCAGCATGGAACCCGTGCCAGTAAACCAGCTCTCCGGGATAGCAGCCTCACATCTACCGAGCTACCTTGGCGGACAAAAGAAAGGGCGGTCGGAAACCCGCCACAAAGCATACTTCCTTCAGCCGCCACCTTCCAGAACCAACAGGCAGCTTCCGGAGATACACCCATTATCCAAAGGGCACCCCGCCCACTTCCCAGAAATCTGGGAAGGTAGCAGGGCACCTTCAGACAATTCAGATTCCACAGCAAACCACACCACCCCCAAAGGACCTCACGGAGTGGGATGAACCCCGGCACACCACAGGGGAGGACCCCAGAGGCTACAAACAGGATGGGAAACAAGGAGAGGGTGGGGAGAGGGGAGGAAAGGGGGAAAATTGGAGGGATGGGGAGGATGGGATAGGGAAGGGAGGAGTGGGGGGGGCGGATAATTAGGTTCGGTCGGAGGAAGAAGACCAAAAGGTACAGTTCCTCAGACTGATAGCCTCTTTACTGCTACAAGGAGCCCCCCTTAAAGGGTATATGACTGGTAAACTTGCTTCTTAAAACCATTTAAAAGCACTTAATGTGGGATGTTAGGGGAATCGGTCTGTAGCTTTTTTTTTTTTTACCATTAATACCGTCTTAGTGGAGTGGGACAATATCAATGGTTTTTAACTACTGTGGGATGTATCCAGTGTCTAGGCTTCTCCAATAAATATTTAAGGCACATGATAAGAGCTTCTTGCAATTCTTGATGAATATTGAGTTAACATAAGAACATAAGAACATAAGAATGTAGGAACACTGCAGAAGGCCTACTGGCCCATACGAGGCAGGTCCTTATCAAAACGACATCTACCTAAAGCTACTCAAGAAATAACTCCCGTACCCCTTGACACCAATCAAACCCAGCCCCTCCCACTCATATATTTGTCCAGTCTCTTCTTAAAGCTACCCAAGGTCCTAACCTCTATCACCCCACTGGGAAGACTGTTCCACGCATCTACAACTCTGTTAGAAAACCAGTACTTACCTATGTCCTTTCTAAATCTAAATTTATCCAACTGGACCTGGGACGGAGTGCATGGGCATGCAATCATTGGTTTCTTCGAAGTCAAGTTGGGTTAGAATTATATAAGAAATTAGGGCGATGTTTGCAGCATTTTGTCTTACACAAGTTGTGGTTGTTGTCCTGTTCTAGTTCAGTAGTCTAAGTTACTGGCCATATATGTTTCCTTCCCATTAGCCACATATATAATATCCTGTCATTCATTTTCGCTCAGTGTCAAAATTTAAACAAATACATTTTATGAAAATTACTTGTATCTTCCTTTAATATTGTTCAGAACTCCTTCCTATAGTAACACTAATGGTACTTACCACTCTTTAAACATCTATTAACACTTTAGAAAATGCTATTATCTAGCTGGAAAATAATAGCACATGCTCATTATTATTATTATTATTATTATAATCAAGGGGGAAGCGCTAAACCCGGAGGATTATACAGCGCCTAGGGGGGGATGTGGAAGGCATTCAGGCTTAATTCGGGGAACTGGAGCACAGATCTAATTCCCTAAATCAAGAGCCCCTCACCAACATCAAGGAACCTTCCTTGAGGGGAGCACATGCTCAGCTCACACTAGGGTTTGCTCCCCGGCACGGGTGAAACGTCGAATATGATTGTTTAGACCAGCTGCCCCTGTTCACCCAACATTAAGTAGGCACTTGGAAGTTAATTGACTGTTGTGTGTAGAATCCTGGGGAACGGGGGGGGGGATGGCAGAATAAAGGTCCAACAATGGAGGCATGACATTCACTCAAGACTGACGGACTTTACTGGGTTATCTTGGGTTGCTAGCCCTCAGGTTAAAAATCCGAATAAAATCTTAATATACTGGGAAAAGAAGACTACAAACAGCTACAAATATGCATAGTACATAGTAAGACTTTTTTTTTAGACGTCCTTCGTTCACAGCTGACCTTTATTAAGACTTGATAAAGATCATTCTTGAACAAAATATAGTCTAAAATTTTATGTTCTAATTTATCACCGATTCTGGCACTAAACACCAAAGGCAACGTCTAATTCCTCACTAACACTACTACCAAGCATTAATATTTTGCTAACCTCTCACTCTCTCCAAGGAGAGGCGTATGAATTGTAAAGGACCCGCCTAGTATGGGCCAACAGGCCTGCTGCAGTGTTCCTCCTTTCTTATGCCCTGGAGCGGACTTATGACTCCTGATCCAGCGAACTGCAGTTATTCTCTTATTTAGATCAAGCCTGATTACTTCCAGTTTCTTGACTTTTAAAAGAGCTTCTCCGTGAATATCATAACGACACCAGTTAATTCTTTACATGATGTAATATTAACTAGTCATCAATTGCTTTGTTCCTGATCAAATACCACTTTTAAAACACCTGACAATCTGATTCTTTGTCGTCGAGCTAGGCAATGTAGCGTTCCCCTCTACTAAGACTTGCATGAAGCCAAAGTATATTATATAAAACCTTGTTTATCTTTGTCTCATCCTTGAAACAGTGTTGAACACTGTTTCAAGGATGAGAATACTGCTCTAGCTCCTTACTAGCACCACCCAAGTCCCTCTATCACAATCTACAGCTCTTACCACCGTCCACTACCCATCTATTACAGTATGCAAATATTCGTATTCCATCTACCACCCCCCTAAAACCGGCAACCAACCCCCCTAATACCGTCTATCACCCCTCTACGAAATCGTCTATTACCCTATAACATTGCCACGTGTCTAACTCCCTTCTAACACCATTTACCGTCCTTATAAAACCGTCTAACACCTATATTACTTCTACTATCTCCATTACACTGCCTCCTATATTGTACCGTCCATCACCCCTCTAACACTTGCTAACACAATCTAGCACCTCTATAACAGTCTACCAAAACTGACATCATATATTACCCTAATAGCATTACAACTACCATGTTTCTACTTCCGTCTAGCTCCCGTCTAATACCTACAAGCCCTCCTCATCCCATACTCTTCTAACACCGTTTAGCACTGTAACACTCCTCTAACGCCCGTGTACCTTCCCTCTACCTCCGTTTTAATAAGCACCGGTCTAACGCCATCCACCTCCCATCTTACACTGCCCGTCTAACAGTATCTACCTTTCCTCCGGCAGTGTGTGACCATCCCCGGGTTGGGGTTCCGGCGAGGGAGCTACAAATGTGAGTGTCGGATGGGGTTCTACTTCCCGGACACTAACTCTCTCAACAAGTACTACAATGGCTCTATCATCGAGGAGGAATACGAGAAGAAAATCATGGTAAGTACAATGTACTTTATTTTCACCATTATACGGCTGGTATGCAATACCGCCAAGTTGACGAACAAGATTCCAGTGCAAGAACTGGGTATCTCTAGTTCGAATTTGAGAAGGATTTTCTTATTATGGGTCGATAGCCCACCTGCGGTCTTCTCTTCATTTTTGTGTTCCTATTACAATGGCCTTCGCCAGAATATAATCTCTCAATTTAAATGAAAGAGTCAATAGTGGGCGAAACGTCTCCAGAATAAGGATATCCAGGTGTTGCAAGTGTTTCGCTCTTTTACTTTTTACGTGAAACGCTAAACCCATGCGATGTACATTATACTTTTCTACTGTTAGGCTACATTAGGTATTTTAATAAATGGTTTAGAGAAACTGACGTGATGATGAATAAGACTTTTGTGCAACACTTGGGAACCCATATTCTGCGCTACCAACCGTGGCTCGGTTGACACCGCACTCAAGTCACTCAATGACTGTCCGTGGTTTAATTAATCCCCGGTACGGGTGGAAACGTTGGGCATGTTTCCTTACACCTGCTGTCCCTCTTCACCTAGAAGTAAGTACCTGGGTGTTAGTCAACTGTTGTGGGTGGCATCCTGGGGGTGTGGTAGTATATCTTAGATAGGGCTGGACTTTAAATGAGCTGAGGTAGGATAACAGCTTTTAGCCTCTAAAACTGATGTGTAAAAAAAAAAAAAGTCTTTTTCACTTATTCATTATAGTAGGGATGTCATAAAGGGAGAGGGGGGAGGGTAAAGGGCTGAGATAAGATAGTGCAGCTGATAAACAAGGCTCTAGGAAGACAGGAAAGAAGAGGAGGAAATAGGAAGGAGGAAGAGGAGCGAATTTTGATTCTTCAGCCTTCAAGCGTAGTACAGTGAGAGTATTATTTTGTTTTCAAACAATATCCTTCAGAAATCCTGAGGGATATTGAAGAATTCAGGTATCCTGAAGGATATTGAGTAATTCAGGCATCCTGGAGGATAATGAATATAGGTATCCTGCAGGATATTGAATTCGGGTATCCTGCAGGATACTGAAGAGCTCGGGTATCCTGAAGGATATCTGAAGGATGTTTGCATGAGGGTCATTACGCCCCCATGCAAACGTCTTTTTTGTCTTCTACCTTGAAATATTCTATTCTGATGATGCCTTTCTTTAGGACATTGGTCACAGGGATGTAATATTCAATATCGCCTTCATCTTTCCCTCCAGATGACTCAAGAAATCGTAATGACACGATTGCAAACAAACCATACCCCCGGCCGGGATTGAACCCGCGGTCATAGAGTCTCAAAACTCCAGCCCGTCGCTAGAGTTCGTCACGGCCACGCTAGCTGGAGATTCGTCTGTAAAAACTTGCATTTGTGGTCACAGAGGTGCCTGTGCTAACCTTCCTATGGTGTAGAAATATACCTAGTTGGATGAATCTTATTGTGGCTAGCTGGTCTAGTGGCTAACGCGACGGGCTGGAGTTTTGAGAGACTATGACCGCGGGTTCAATCCCGGCCGGGGGTATGGTTTCCCTCCAGATGTCAGTAGATTCGTTGTATTATTGATAAGCCTTGACAGGCTTACAGTACTTTCTCCAAAGTAACCTTCAGTATCTTTCCTTAGTTGGTTAGATTTTTTCATTGCTTTCACACTCATATTTAATGCTTTCTAAAAGCATTGTGGGTACATTAAATTTTTAATACGCATTAAGTATACGTTGAGTAGAACTGGAATACGTCCTAGGTATATACTGAATGGATCTTTATTACACCTTAGAGACACATTCAATATATCAATATGTTGTGAGAAAGTCTTTCATACACAACCCGGGTGAATCTTATGAGTCCACACCTTTAAAACTCCCGGTGTGCTGACACTGAAATGTGTATCTGCTGATTTTGTAAATATTTCCTGATTTTGCTACATCTACTCGATTGTGGATGTTATTTTCGCCGATTCCTTACGACATTTTCTGACTTTGTACAGCAATTTCTAATTCTGTAAACATTGTTTCTGCAAGATATTTATTGATCCACAAGACATTTGCTGAATTGTTAGGATATTCGCCGATTGTAAATATATTTACTGATTTGTAATAATATTTTTGTTGATTCACGCTAACTGGTCTGGTACTGGAAGTAACCAGGTGGGAACCTGGCTACACTGTTCAGACTGATGACAAGGCTTGCACCGGTGAAGACAGTGACAAAAAGACACAGCTGGTAACAGTGGGCTTTCTCAAGTATATGAAGTACTTGGAAAGTTCAATGTGGGATGAAATTTTGTAAAAATAAGTTTTCACTGCAGTCGTGGTGGTGCTGTGGCCTGAGCAGGTTGTTACTAACACGAATACATGAGAGACAGACAGACACACACACACACACACACACACACACACACACACACACACACACACACACATGCCACTCTCACCATACACACACACTCACACTCTCACACACACGTACAACAGGCCTAGTGTCTAATCGACATGTGCCTAGGACAAAATGGTAACTAACACACACAAACAGGTGTCAGAGTGGGATTCCACAAAGGTCAGTCCTAGGACCGGTGCTGTTTCTGATATTTGTGAACGATATGATGGAAGGAATAGATTCCGAAGTGTCCCTGTTTGCAGTTGATGTGAAGTTGATGGAAGAATCCAATCGGACGAAGATCAGGCAGAACTACAAAGGGATCTGGACAGGCTGCAGGCCTGGTCCACCAACTGACTCCGGGGATTCAACCCCACCAAGTGCAAAGTCATGAAGATTGGGGAAGGGCAAAGAAGACCACACACGGAGTACAGTCTAGGGGGCCAAAGACTAAAAACCTCACTTAAGGAAAAACTTAAGGAAAAGGGTCTTAGGGTGAGTATAACACCGGGCACTCTCCTGAGGCGCACATCAACCAATTAACTGCAGCATACGGGTGCCTAGCAAACATAACAGCATTCCGACATCTTAAGAAGGAATCGTTCATGACCCTGTACCTTGTGTACGTTAGGTCCATTTTGGAGTATGCAGCACTAGTTGGAACCCACACCTAGCCAAGCACGTAAGGAAACTAGAGAAAGTGCAAAGGTTTGCAGTAAGACTAGCCCCATATCTAAGGGGTATATCCTGCTAGGAGAGGTTAAGGGAAATCGACCTGACGACACTGGAGGACAGGAGAGATATGATAACATACAAAATACTTAGAGGAAATGACAAGGTGGTCAGAGGCAGGATGTTCCAGAGATGGGACACAGCAACAAGGGGTCACAGTTGGAAGTTGAAGACTCAGATGAATCACATGGATGTTAGGAAGTATTTCTTCAGTCACAGAGTTGTCAGGAAGTGGAATAATCTGATAAGTGATGTAGTGGAGGCAGGATCTATACATAGCTTTAAGAAGAGATATGCTAAAGCTCATGGAGCGGGAAGAGTGACCTAGTAGCGACCAGTGAAGAGGCGGGGCCAGGAGCTATGACTCGACCCCTGCAACCACAACTAGGTGAGTGCACGAGTTACGGGGAGGGGACTGTGTGAAACTCTGCTCACTGTGGTTTGAAGCCACCGGGAAAAAACACATCTAGAAAATTATGATTTAAAAACAACTCCTTTTGACACAGCAGCTGACCTCATAAAGTGACATTAGAGATCATTCCTCTGTCTTTCAAGATTTTCCCCAGTATCCTCTGATAGTCCTCTGATAGTCGGGGCCAGGAGCTGAGTCTCAACCCATGCAACCACAATTAGGTGAGTACTTGTTTTAAAGGTTTCCCGGGGTTGATTGGAAACGCACTCAACTCACACACTGAGTGCGTGGTTCGATCCTCGGCATGGGTAGAAACGTTAGGCATGGTTTCCTTACACCTTCTGCCCCTGTTCACTTATCAGTGAGTAGGTACCTGGATGTTAGTCGACTGGTGTGGGTTGCATCCGGGGGGGGGGTAGTAATGCGCTGATATGAGTAAAAAAAATTTTGGGGGGGCAAAGATGCAGATATAAATGTTGCTTCCACTAGACAAATTATGCAAGAACCATACATGAACCATTGCAGGTCGATCGAGGAGTGCATCAATCTAAGCATCTGCATACACTGACTCATCTAGGCTTTTCTGATCACGGAACGGGTGGGGTTTGATACCATGACAAGTCATAAACCCGTATCTCGTTACCCATATTTCGTATCAGGGGAAGGTTACTCATATCTCCTATCAGGGGAAGCTTAACCATATCTCGTAACAGGGGAAGGTTACCCATATAACGTGTCACCTCGCCACATACATTTCATGAAAAAGCATCAAACTTGTCTTAGAAGAGATTCCCGAAATGATTTCTTCTCTGTATCTTTTCCAGCGTAAAGAGAATGTCCAATATGTAATATTGAAACTAAGACTTCGTTGCATAATCGACACACATTTACGTAACAGTAATAGAGACCCTTGCAAGGAGACGTCAAGACCTGGTTGCAAGTCCGCCGGTGAAATACGTTTTGTCAACAGATTTAGTCAGTCGAGTTGGTTGACTTTATTTTACGTGCTGAGAGTATACATTTACGGTGTGTGTGTTACTGTTATATATGTTAATATTTTGAGGGAAAGATAAGTCGGGGAGAGAGAGAGAGAGAGAGAGAGAGAGAGAGAGAGAGAGAGAGAGAGAGAGAGAGACAGAGAGAGAGAGACAGAGACAGAGAGACAGACAGAGAGACAGACAGAGACAGAGACACAGACAGACAGACAGACAGACAGACACACACACACACACACACACACACACACACACACACACACACACACACACACACACACACACACACACACATTTTGAGAATCTTGAACGAGTTAATAAATGTTCTGGGAATTCTGACTCAGAACTAGGAAAGTTTAAAGTGCTTGGAGTAAATGACAGTGTGGGACCTATAACTGAGTCATGTTTAGATAATGGTTTGTTAATGTACATAAAGGCTTCAAGAAGCACAACATGAATATGTTGACGCCAATGATGAAATCTGCA